TTTCGAGGAGCCACTCTGGGAAAGAAGTGGGAGGAGGAAGGAGGAGGGAAAAATTCAGGGGAGAACTTCTTGCTTCAGAGGCCAGCCTCCTTCAGCTCAGCGGAGCTCACAGACCACACGAGGAGGCTTCAGTCAGCGATGGCCCATGTGTGCACTGGTGGTCCCTAAGATTAAAACGGAGCTCAAGAATTCCCATCGCCTAGTGACGGCAAGGTGCCACATGCTCCTCAAGGTTCCTGGTGCTGTTGGTGCCAACGGACCAACTGCACTCGCAGAGTATCAAAGGTGGCACCTACAATCACGTCATGCACTTGATGATGAAGTATCATGTACGGTGCCCACGTCCCGGGCAGGCGATGGAGTCAGGGTCGCTCCGTGACAATCGGGCTGGCAATGAAAAGACCACACAAACCCAAAGTACCTTTTTCGGGAGTCAGGGACAGCTCTGCGACCTCAGGGGTTCAGTTCCTGGGCTGAAGGGCAAGAGGAGCAAGCGAGGCAAGAGAGAGCAGCACCCCTGGAACCCCCCTATTTACTGGGAGAAGACATTCCATAGAATATTCCACCCAAATAAGGCAAGGGGTAGGGTTTTGAAGGGTGGAGTCTTGCTTGGTGATGTCTTGTGGTCAGCAGATTGACTGACCCTTGGCAAGCCACACCCATCTCAGGTGCTGTGTGGGTCACAGGCAGAGCGAGACGACAGGCACTTTTGTGTGGAACAGTCCAATCGGGGCACAATGACAGACCACACACTCAAATGTGCACAGCTCACACACACAGCCCATGGATGGCTCGGGACAATGTACTTGATCATGAGGACACATGGCTATGATGCTGGTTCATGTTTGTATAAACTTTTATTTTTTTAGTATTTTTTAGTTATAGATGGACACAATATCTTTATTTTTTATTTGTTTATTTTTATGGGGTGCTGGGGATCGAACCCAGTGCCTCACATATGCTAGGCAAGCACCCTAGCCCAACTTTTTAATGATTATTAGAGTGCATGCCTTCTGCTTATAAAGACTATTTACTGTGGAGATGGGATTGTGGCTCAGTGGTAGAGCACTCACCTAGCACACGTGAGGCACTGCATTCAAACCCCAGCATCAAAAAAATGAAATAAAGATATTGTTTCCACCTACAACTAAAAAATTAAACTAATATTAAATATATATATATATTTTTTTTCACTTACTGTGAAACAGCCAGGCATGGTGGCACAAGCCTATAATCCCGGTGGCTCGGGAGGCTAAGGCAGGAGGATCACGAGCTCAAAGCCAGCCTCAGCAAAAGCGAGGCACTAAGCAACTCAGTGAGACTCTGTCTCTAAATAAAATACAAAATAGGGCTGGGATGTGGCTCAGTGGCAGAATGCCCCTATGCTTAATCCCCAGTACCTCCCTGCCAAAAAAAGAATATTAACTGTGAAACAGAACACCTCCATCTCCCATATTCCATGACTCGATGGCATTAAGAGGCCATGTGGAGTCACTGACCTAGACCACTGAGGTAGTGAGTGAGTTTTACCATGTGTGCACAATGACAAAAACAAATGCATTTCCAAGGACATATCCCCATGGCTAAGTGACGCAGGACGGTGCTCAGCGGCCAAAGTTCGGGCTTGAGGACATGGAGTTCTGAGCCTCTCCACGGCATGACACTCACCACATCCAACTCTTCCCAGAAGCAGAGATAGGCCGTCAGGCTGTTGGCACACAGGTACAACATCACACTGGTGATGTGGCCCCTGTCCCGGGGATCTGTCCGACACACTCCTTCACATAAAGAGCTCGTGTACAGGGGAGGGGGTTGGCCACACAGAGTACAAGGCTGAATTTCTGAAAATTATTCAGTTGTAACCAGAACCCCTCTGCCTTGGCACTGTCAAGAAATAGCTACTGAGCCTCTGAGCACCCACAGCGCCAAACACACACATAATGTTTCAGGCTGCAGTGGGTTGGAAGCAATGTATTCCTCGTCTAAAAAATTCACTTAAGCCCACTCTTGCCATTAGTTGGAGAGCAAGCCGCCTGGAATGGAGGGAGGCCTCCAACCAAGGCTCTGGAATCTGGCCACCACAACACGGCGGGCTCCCACCAGCGCCCAGAGTCTCCCTCACCGGGCAGGCTTTGGCAGCTTCTCAGGCTTCCTGGGTCTGGACCACTGTGAGGGCCACAGTTGCCTCTGGGCTTCTGACTGTCCTTTTGGATTCAGGCCATTTGCCCTGAGCGAGAGAGGCACTTCCTGGTCCCATGCTGGGTTTCCAGGAAACACAGACTCAGAGCCTGTGACCTCTGAACTGTCTGCCAATAATGGCTTAAGCCTTTAACCCTGGAAGCAGCAGCCCACACATCCAGCATGGCTGTGAGGCCTCCTTAGTCAGGATGGAGCTGAGTCTGAGGGCGCTGGCACGTCCCACCTGCAGGAAAGGGTGACTCCCCCTAGCCACCATTCCTTGCAGATGCAGTGGTGCTGGAGGGACCAGCGGAGTGAATGGCAATGGGACTGCGTGGGTGGCAGTACCACCAACACACAGGTTGGAGCCTTCTAGGGAACGGCTGCCTCTCATCCCTTGCCCAGAGTGTCCCTGAGGGAGAACGGGACAGGATGAGCTTCAGGATGATTTTGCCAGCAAGCCACAGCAGGAGCATGTTCTTAAAGGTGCTTGAGCCGCTGCCAGTGACCTGGCCCTTAGGTCCTGACCCAGAAATTCCTTCTGTTAGCCCTGTGGGGGAAGAACTCTGGAAATCTCTTCTTTCACAGGTACCAACTATTGATCAAATCCACAGCTCTCTGCCGTCCTTGACAAAACACTCCTTTTCCTCTTCAGGGTTCCACAGGTGGCTGACAATGACCAGGGCACACATTTTATTCCTTTGGAATGTTGAGTGTGGCTCTGGGACAAGGCATTGGACGGGGTAGACTTTCCTTTACTGAACTCGGGCTTCGGGCCCATTCACGTCCACATGCAGGTCTAGGAAACACGGTCCCCGTGACTCATCCACCCAGCTCGGGGGTGGATCCTCATAAAACGCTGGATTCCGTTTTGATGTCTGACCTCTGATAACTTTGAAGTCTTCCTTTCCCTTTTCCCTTCTTCCCCATATATGGGAAAACCTCGGTGCTCCTTCAGCCCACACGCGCCCTGGCTGGGCACGGGACCCCTCACCCCGCCGGCCCTTCCGTTCTATCTCAGGATGTTTTTGGACCAGGTGGGGACCTCTGCCTCCTCCCCGCAGGAAACCTCGTCATGAGAATGCCAGGCATCACTGACCCTCTTGGGGGTGCAGGGCACTGTTAGTCCCTGCAATTGAACAAAATTTGGGGTGCAGGGGTCCATCGTGCACTGAGAGGTGCTCACAACCAGTGAGTGGGGTGTCAAAGGGGGATGGGCAAGGCACACTCTGAGCCTGCATCTGCTCATCCACCGAGAAACACGTACCCCAGGCCCATGCCAGGGACACAGGGACACCACAGGTAGCATTCCTGCCTCGCTCTGCTCTTGGCAGGTCCCTCTGTGGGTTCCCAGGGGGACGCACAGGCACTTGACCAGCCTGGAGAGGTCGGGGGGCTTCCGGCCTCCTTCCTCTGATGAGGAGATCAGGAAGGGGCCTCGCGGTGCAGGGAAAGGCACCTTGCGCTGGGGACCGAGAATCCAGGCATTTCTAGTTCCCAAAAGGCCAAGCTGGGGGCAGAGAGCCAAGAGGGGACTGCGTGTGGGTCTTGTGGGACCTGGAGATCTGTGCTGGAGGGCCAGGACTTTGTTCTGGGATATGCGGGGGGGTGCCACAAGAGGGTTGTGAGCAGGTCAGCTCTGGGTGTAGACAGAGCCATCCACATGTAGGAGGTGGACTGGAGAGGGGGGAGACTAGAGGCTGAGTGTCCAGGTGGGAGGTGTGAGGAGCTACGGGGACAGAAAGGAGAGAGAGGCAGACAGAGTAAGAGGGGATGGTGCTGGGTGTGGTGGTGCACACCTGTAATCCCAGCAGCTCAGGAGGCTGAGACAGGAGGATCTCGAGTTCAAAGCCAACCTCAGCAACGGCAAGGCGCTAAGCAACTCAGTGAGAGCCTGTTTCTAAATAAAATATAAAAAGGTGCTGGGGATGTGGCTCAGTGGTTGAGTGCCCCTGGGTTTAATCCCCAGGACCAAAAAGTAAAAATAAAAAGCAGGAAGGTAAGGGTCCTGGGGTAACCAGAATGAACACTGAATTTAGAATCAGACAGGACACAGTTGGGGAGCCTCCCTGCCTCTCCCTGGACACCTGTTTGGCAACACCCCCTTCTCTTTCTGGGGTGCTCTCTGCCCTGGAATTCGGGTTCCACAGCCTCCCCTTCCTCCTGCCTCCTTGCCCACAGGTTCCAGGCAGCCCCACCCTCCCAGCTCTTTGTCACTGGAGAGTGGGGATTAGAACCCAGCTCCAGGAGCCGGTGCTTTGAGTCATCAGCGGCTGCGAGCTGGTGTGGAGAGGAGGGGCCGGGTCTTCCCACCCTGGTTCCTTCCGCCCTGTCCCCTTGGTTCCGAGGAGTCACCTGTCAGCTAGAAAGAGCTCCTGGGGATTAGAGAGCCCCACCTCATCTTCCTCGTCCCCTTCCCACAAGCCGGAAGTCAGAAGTCCCAGTTGGGCTGGGACAAAGAGAGCTAACTGCCTCGTCAGCCTGGGGCCTGGGGTGGCTGACAGAGGGGACAGGTGGGGCAGCATGACAGGTGGCTGAGGAGCCAGGTGGCCAGTGTGAAAGGTGGCCGGCAGATGAAAGGCCAGGCAGGGAGGTGGCCACAGAGATAGGCAGGCGGAACCAGGGACAGCCACAGAGAAGGTGAGCGGGGGCAGGCCATCCACCACGGAGGGGTGGCATGTGGGGACAAGTAGAGGGGACAGTAGGTCAGCTCCTGAGAGATCTTCAGAGAGAAGGGGAGAGGGGAGAGAGGGTACGGGTGGGAGGCCAGGGAAGGGCCACCTCTGAGAGTCCCTTTCTCCCAGGCTGTGGCGGCGGCCGCTATGAGGCTGGGCATCACCCTGCTCCTGTGCACTCTTGGTGAGTTCCTGGGCAGGGCCAGGACGGGCGAGAAGAGGCTCCGTCTTCCAGCTCAGCTCAGCCTGGCCCTAGGATGGGAGGGGGGCGGCGGCTCTGGCCCACACCTGGCCTGCCCTGCTGCCACCGTGTCTCGGGCTCTCTGCTTCCCTCTAGTCCCTCTGTCCCCTTTCCCGCCCTCTCTGGGCCACTCTGGTGGGCCACTGTGTCTCAGACCGGCTCTCTCCATCTCTGTGCTCCCCTTCTTTCTCTGACCCCTGGTCTCTGTCTCTGACCCCCTCTCTCTAGCTCCATGCCTGTCCCCAGGGGCGAGCCAGGCCCACACGGAGAAGATTGTCAATGGCGTGGAGTGCCTGCCTCACTCGCAGCCGTGGCAGGTGGGGCTCTTTGAGGGCACCAGCCTGCGCTGCGGGGGAGTCCTCATTGACCGCAGATGGGTCCTCACAGCTGCTCACTGCAGCGGCAGGTGAGCCCCAGTCTGGGCCCTTCCTGGTGGGCAAAGAATGGTGATGGGGAGGCAAGTGCTAGGGAGGGTCCCCAGGGAGGCACCACTCAGAATAGATCTTAGGGGATGAGGGTGCCAAGGGTACAAAACTAGTTCTGCAACAAAAGAGTCTGAGGTTAGATGAGGAGTGGAACTTCCTCAAGAGTGGGACTAGGGTGGGGCTGGGTGGGGTGAGGTGTAGTGGGTGGAGGACCCAGAGGGTCCTCATGTGCCACCCTTTCCTATATGGCATCTGTCACCAGTCTCAGCCACTACTGGTCCCAGTCTGGGTCCTGGACCACATTTACCCCAAACTGAGTGCAACCACAGGGACAAGGTCTGTCACCTTCCTGGGCCTCAGTAGCCCCATTTGTAAGATGAGCCACTTTTTAGGTCTGATGCTCTGGGGTTTTTTGATGAAAGGGGAGATCAGACCTGAAGGGGCTGAAAGACAGCAGGACAGAGATGCCATGCATAATCCACTTGCTCAGACAACAGTACTGACAACTCCTCTATGGGGCCAAGTGGCAGGGACAGGCATTGAACTAGGGAAGATGTCAACTCCAATCACCTCCTGGGCTTCACTGTTTAAGAGCGTCGGAGCAGGCTTGCGGCTCCGAGGGGGCGGGGCTGCCCTGCCACCTGCTGAGCCGCTGCGACCCCAGCAGGTACTGGGTGCGCCTGGGGGAGCACAGCCTCAGCAGGCTGGACTGGGCCGAGCAGATCCGGCGCAGCGGCTTCTCCGTGACCCACCCCAGCTACCGGGGAGCCCTGCAGAACCACGAGCACGACCTCAGGCTGCTGCGGCTGGGGACACCAGTGCGCGTGACCCGCGCCGTGCGGCCCCTGCCCCTGCCTAGCTCTTGCGCCGCAGCTGGCACAGAGTGCCACATCTCCGGCTGGGGCACCACCAACAAACCATCGAGTAAGGAGCCCCCTGGGCAGGGGTCAGAAGAGGGAAAGCCCGGGGTGGAGGGTGAGAGGGCAGGAGAGAGGGCAGGCCTGGCAGCAAGGGAGTGCAGTAGACACCAGGACCAGGTCTGGGGTCAGAGATCAGGAGGGATCTCCTAGGACTTAAAGAGGTGAAGGGAGTGGGTGTGGGGTCAGAAGTCAGAGGTCAGGGATGCAATCAGGTCAGAGTGAGGTCAGGGGAGTAAAGGTATATATAAGTAGGATCTGGGTGTCAAGGGTCAGGGGCTTGGGTATAGAGGTCCTGGGATCCAGATGTTGCAGATCTGGGTATAAATTGGGATTTTATCTCATATCTGAGATTAGAAGTCAGGGGCCAGAGGTTTAGGTCCATAGAATCTGGGGTCAAATAAACTAGGATCAGAAGACACTCTGGAGTTGGGACAAAGGAAATGAAGAGGGGGACTTTGAGGGACCCTGTAGCACGACCTCCCGTCCCCAGGCCCATTCCCTGACCGGCTCCAGTGCCTCAGCCTCTCCATCGTCTCCAATGCCGCCTGCCGGGCCGTGTTTCCCGGGAGGATCACCGACAACATGGTGTGCGCCGGCGGGGTCGCTGGGAGGGACGCCTGCCAGGTGAGCACACACAGGAGGTGCATGGTCACCCAAGACAGGAAGTGGGGGCTGAGGAAGGGAAACCAAAGCAGGGAGGGACTCGTGGAAATGGGGACAGAGGAAGAGATGGGTGAGAAAGAAGGCGAGGTTCAGGGAGGCGGAGAACAGGTCGAGGGCCGGACGAGGACGGAGCGAGGGAGGGAATGGAGGAGGGAGGTGGAGACGGACAGGTGGCCCAAAGAGAGGGAGGGGGGAACAGAAGGACAAAGGGTGAGGAAGGCAAAGGACCAGCCAGGATCTGCAGCTGCCAGACCCAGGGCTCTGGGCATTCCCCACACTATGTTCCAGCTGGTGCGGCTCCAGGGTGACAAAGAGATGTGGGGACAGAGACGGGAAGGGGCCAGTGGGCTTTTACCCTCTGATTCCACATTCTTGCTTTCTGGGGACCCCCAGGAAGGAGGAGGAGGCTGCTAAATCTCACTGTCCCGGTACCCAGCCACTGTCCTTAAGAGAACTCTCTGCCCTCGTGCTGTCCCGCCCTCCTTCTCTGGGATTGGCCGTAGGAGATAGTTTTCTCTTCACTCATTGGCCAGCGGCCCAGCCAATGTCCTGGAAGAGTCCCACCTCCCTTCCTGGGATTGGCCCTCAGGGACAGTGTGCTCTCTTCGATTGGCTGGCCACTTCTATTGTCTTCCCGGAGCCTGGCTGTGCTCCTCCCTCTCAAGACCAGGCTTGGACCACCACCCCTAAGGCCTAGGAAAGGATCTGTGATAGGCGAGGGGTGGGGAGGAAAGCAGGAGCAGGATGACTCCCTTATTTATGCAGCATTCCGTCTTACAGGGTGACTCTGGGGGACCCCTGGTATGCGGGGGAGTCCTTCAGGGGCTGGTGTCCTGGGGGTCCGTGGAGCCTTGCGGGCAAAAAGGCATCCCAGGAGTCTACACCAATGTTTGCAAGTATGTGGATTGGATCCGGATGATCATAAGGAACAACTGACCTGCTTCCTCCATCTCCACCCTCAACTTGGGGGCCTTTCTGACCCTCAGCACCAGAATCTTTTGTTGATCTGGGGAACTTCTTGGAACTGCGATTCTAGTCAGTCCTCCTGAGGCCCATGACTTGAGGGGAGGACTGCACAACTGTCAGAAATAAATACCGTGTAACTGAAGGAGGGCTGTGTCTGTCTGATGATCCTAAGCTCTTTGAGACTGGAGGGAGCCTCCTGGGCTCCTCTACCTCCAGATACAGAAATAGACATCAGAGAGTGTAGCGTTTTCCCTCAGGGATCACACAGGAATGGAGCAAAAAAATTTACTGGTAATACTAAAAATGAAGGCCATCTTTCTCCATCAGGCATGATAGAAATAGTGCCCAGAGCTTATATGCTCTTCAGTGGCCTATGAAGAACCTGAAAGAAGAAAAAGAAAATATCAAATGCCAACTGAAAATCAAATTTCAGTGACCATTTAATGAAATGTCTATGACATGTGACTTTTTTTACATTGGCCAATGGCGGCTTGGCTCTTTTGTGTTGAGCCAACTTATATTGGTGCAGGAAGTCAGTCTATTTTAATGTCTGGATGGCCCAGGGTGGTGGAATGTGGCCCCTGTCTCAAAGGGTCCTGCCCACCTCTGGGGTTCTCTCCAACAGGCCGAAAGAGAACATCATCCTCTGAAAAGTGTGGATGGGGACCTGGGGACTGAGGAGGACAGGGCTCAGCAGCACAGCCAGGCCTGTGACTGACTGAGCCCAACAGAGCTGGGCTCTCCTCGTGACTCTCTGGAGTCTTCATCCCACCCCCCACCCCACCCCAAGGCAGGGCCGTCACCCCCATGTGGCAGATGAAGCCTCGTGGGGTGGAGTCCCTCGTCCCACGTCACAGAGGTAGGAAGAGGCAGAACCGGGGTTTGAGGCCAGGGTTGGCTGCTGTCAGAACCTAGGGCTACCCCGCCTTGTTCCACATCTGGTTAGGGAGAGAGCAGAGAAAGACCCAGGGAGGAGATCTGAGAACAAACAGCTGGGAGAAGTGGGGCTCCACACCGGGTTTCCCAGATGAGGAGGCTGAGGTGGCTGAAGGACTGGAAGTCGTCAGGCCCAGGCCCCGCAGCAGCGAGTAAGTGCACCGCTGGACTTGGACCCAGATGTCCAGCATCCAGAGGCCCAGGAGGTGGGGAGGGCCGCAGAGGGAAGAGGCTTCAGAGAAGGAGGATCCAGAGAGCCCTAGGGCTTGGGGCACCTGCCGGGCTCTTCTCCCCTTGCTGGGCCCTGGCTGTGCAGGCCCCGACCTGCCTCTCTCACCTGCCGTCCTGCCCCTTCGCCTGGCAGCAGCCCCACCTCCCTGACGCCCCAGTTTCCCCCATCTTTGGAAAGGAGAAGGGAGGGGCCCAGAGGAGGCCAGGGGCCACAGCCAGCTGGGGCTTCGAGGAGAAAGGGGCAGGGCAGGCAGAGACAGAGGAACTGGAGGAAGACAGGGACTGGAAAGCTTGGGAGCCACTGAGACATGGACAGGAAGAAGGACAGGCCACGAGAGACAGGGCCCAGAGCCCAGATGGAGGAAGGAGCAGAGAGGGTCGAAGGCCTAGAGACAGAAGGAAGAAGACCTCCCACACAGAGGGCCAGTGTGGCAGAGAATGACAGAAACAGATTCAGAGATGAGCAAGAAGGGGACCGGTGCATACAAGACAGATGACACAGGGGAAGAGGGGCCTGGAGAGGTGACGCGGGCAGCAGAGTGCCAGGGAGGCCCCCACACCCCGCCCCCAGGCAGCAAGGCAGGGCTTGGAGGCCAGTCATCCCGGTCTGCCCCAGGCCACCCCTGCCTGCCAGCCTGCCTGGTGCCTGGCGCTCTGACCCAGCCTGCCGCAGCTGCCACCGCCGGTCCCCCGGAGCCCCAGCCCAGAGCCCGTGAGTCGGGGAGGGAAGAGAAGCCCCCTCCAGGAGTCTGCTGACCCTGGTCGCCTGTCCTCCTCTGCCTCGGTACCCACTCCCCTCTGCTCTGTCCTTTCCAGCTTGGGTGGGGCTCTCTACCTCTCTCTGGTCTCTCACCTCCAACCTGCTGCCCCCAACCTCCATGACCTCTGACCCCAGCTGGGAAGCTCTGTCCACCCTTCAGTCCCACCCCCGCTGGCAGGGCATCTCAGGGCACGGCCCTCGCCGTCCACCCCGCCCAGCTCCCTCGGGCTGTCTTTCCAAGGGGCAGGGGTGCACCAAGGGGAAAGGAGGAAGGCAGACACGGTCCCACGCTGACCACTTCCTTCCTTGGAGGCGGACCCCAAAGCCTCCATGTGGCCCTGCTGTTGAGACCACAAAAAATGGGGTGGTTACCGGATGGGGCCTGGACCCTGGCCAGGTGTGGGGGGGCGAGAAGAAGAGCACCTCCACAGTGTGCCCAGAGGCCCGGCCCTGGCGCGCCCCACAGCCCCTCCCAGCAACTTCCTCTGGCTCCTTGGCATTCCAGAAGCTTCTAGCCGGCCCAAGTCCCCTCCAGGCCACCCTGGAGCCTAAGATTGGCCTTAAGGTTGATTGTTGTGCTATGAGAACCAGGGGGCTCCCCAGACTGGCCCCTCCCTGGGGGAAGCAGGCAGGGCCAGGAGAGGGGGCAGCTGGCGTGAGGCGAGGGTGTCGTGAGCAGCCCTCCTCTCCCCTCAGAGTGCTAAGGGCCGGCTCCCTTCTTGTCCCCAGAGGAACCCGGGCCTTGCCCTGCCCCGCTCCAGGCCATGATGATTCTGCGATTCATCACGCTTGCTCTGGTGACAGGTACCGTGATGGTGACAGATGGGGAGGGCCGGGCCCTGGTTCTGCCATCGCTGGGAACCCTACCCTCTGGTATTCAAAACCTAGACAGACCTATGTGTCATGGGCATGGAGACCACCATAGGGCCATGCTGGGTGTAACCCCTCTAGATGCCAGCATGGGGAGAGGTCAGGGGCCCAGAGGAGGGACCAGGGAGCTGTGGTGGGGAGGGCTGAGCCACCAGTAAGGAAGCACTTCAGTTCCTCAACACCTGACCCAAGCATGGCACACCCCGTGGGACCCAGGTCGAGGCCAGCCCACCCCCTCACTCTCCTCTCCCACATCCGGGTCTCCCGGGCCTAGCCCTTCTCAGGCCTGAGCCCCTCTTTTTCCCCGCCTCCTGCAGGGCACGTCAGGGGAGAGACCAGGATCATCAAGGGGTACGAATGTCCTCCTCATTCGCAGCCCTGGCAGGTGGCCTTGTTCCAGAAGACGCGGCTGCTCTGTGGGGCCACCCTCATCGCCCCCAAATGGCTCCTGACAGCAGCCCACTGCCGCAAGCCGTGGGTGCGGGGGCTGGGGCGGGGCTGGGAGGGGGCTGGAGGTGGAGAGATGGGTGGCAGGGGGCTTGAGGACAGGAAGGACATGGAGGAGGGTGGAGAGCTCGGCGGAGATGGGGAGGGGGCGTTAGCAGGATGGGTGGGATCGCTTGGGATTGCAGACAGAGGGATGGATGTCTGGGGGCCTGGTGGTTCTGGGAATGGGTTGGGGGTGGGGTTGGAGCTTGGAAGGGAGCTCCAGAGGGAGATGGGGTTGGAAGCGGAGCCCCGTCCCTTTGTTCTCGAAGGTATCACTCATCTCTCCTCCCCAACCCTGCGCGTGTGTCCCCTCCACCTCTCCATCTCTGACCACTGCCCTCCCACCTCAGCAGCTACGTGGTCCTCCTGGGGGAGCACGAGCTGCAGCATCAGGATGGCTGTGAGCAGAGGCGAACGGCCACCGAGTCCTTCCCCCACCCAGACTTCAACAACAGCCTCCCCAACAAGGACCACCGCAATGACATCATGCTGGTGAAAATGTCCTCCCCGGCCCTCATCACCAGGGCCGTGAGACCCCTCACCCTGTCGTCACACTGCGTCACTGCTGGCACCCGCTGCCTCATTTCCGGCTGGGGCACCACGTCCAGCCCCCAGTGTAGGGACTATAGAGGGGAACCTGGTGGGGGTGGGAAGGGAGGGGTGGTCACGAGGATGAAATGACACAAGGGACCAGAGGAACCTTCTGAGGTCCGATTCATAGTGATGCAAGAGGGGTTGCCTGGGGTGTCCGGAGTAGGATCTGTTGGAGGAAAGATGGAAAAGTCAGGACTGGGCATGTGGGGGGCGGGGACAGAGACACGCATTTGAGCCACACAGTGGGACAGGTGTGATGTGCAATCTAAAACTGCTAATAGGAGACCTCAGACAAGGAGCTTCACCTCTCTGAAGCTTGGTTTTCTCCCCCCCACACACACCAAGGTGGCATTAGAGATAATATGTAGACAGCGACTGCAGACAGATTGGCTCAATGGTGTGACCCTTGCTATTGGTATAAGCAGACAGTCGAGTTGGCCGTGTGTACAGAGGACAAGGGCTCTCCCCGGAGGAGCGCAACTCGTGGGGCTGGGGAGGGGGGCTGGCTTCCCACGGCCTCTCCTACTGTCTCTGCAGTGCGCCTGCCCCACACCTTGCGATGCGCCAACATCTCTATCATTGACCACCAGGAGTGTGAGAGCGCCTACCCAGGCAACATCACGGACACCATGTTGTGCGCCAGCGTCAAGAAAGAGGGCAAAGACTCCTGCCAGGTCAGAGGGCAGGGCCAGGTCTCCCACCACACCCCAGCCCCTTCCCCAACCTCAGTGACATGCACAACCCCAACCCCAGTGCCAAGGCCACCTGTCCCTGAAGCTAAACCCACTCCATCCCCAGTTACCATATCTGACTCCAACACACTCCCCAGCCCCATGCCCACCCCCATTTCCAACTGAACCATCCCCAAACTCATTTTTTTTTAGTTGTAGATGGACACAATGCCTTTATTTTGTTTATTTAGTTTTATGTGGTGCTGGGGATTGAACCCAGCGCCTCACACATGCTAGGCAAGTGGTCTACCACTGAGCTACAACCCCAGCCCCCCAAACTCATTTGACCTTAAAGCCATCCTTACTCCCACCCACAATCCCAAGTTCACCACCCCAGTCCATCACCAACACATCCTCTCCCCCACCCCCCCCCCCCCCCCCCGCTTTCCAGAACCTCCGCCCTTTGCTCTGACTGGTTCTCTCTCTTCCCATGCCCAGGGTGACTCTGGGGGCCCTCTGGTCTGTAACGGGTCTCTTCAAGGCATTATCTCCTGGGGCCAAGATCCATGTGCTGTCACCAGAAAGCCCGGTGTCTACACAAAAGTCTGCAAATATGTAGACTGGATCCAGGAGACCATGAACAACAATTAAACAGGACCCACCCCTCAGCCCCATCTTCCTGTAAACATTTGATCTCATTCATTCTGCTCTCGAGAAACCCTAAGCCAGGACTCTTCCGTGCACTTCCTTGGCTGCAGGAGACGCTATAGCTTTATAACGAACTTGGGGTTTGGAATCAGGGACGGCCTGGCTGGCACTAACCTGTGACTCTGGAAGCGATGATAGCTGTTACGTTCACTGTCATATCTCTAACCCCAGAGACAGTTCCTGATGTACACCAAGGTTGTAATAAATATTTAGAGTGAATGAATCCATGGAGTACTTACTATGGGCCAGACAGACCCTGGTCCAAAGGGCTTTTAAATACATCAACCAACACAATCCTCACAAACTCTGAAAGGTCAGCACTATTATCATACCCATTTTACAGATGAGGAAACTAAGCATGGAGAAAAGAAATTGTTTGCTCATGGTCACTCGGCCAGTAAGGGAAAGAAGGGCAAGGATTTGAAGCCAGGTGATCTTTTAACTAACAAGTGATCCCACCTTGACGGAAGCTCGGTTTCCTTAGCTGTAAAACTGTGCACCCAAATGTCTGACAGCACAGTAAATAAGTGAGCCCGCACATAGCAAGTCCTCACAAAAGGGACCTCTAGTTATATTCCAACCTCCGTGACAAGTAGTTGATTGAGGCCCACATTGGCCAATATGGTGGCCACATGCATCCATTTAAATAAAAAATAATGACATAAAATCAGAAACTTAGTTCCTCTGTCACACTTGACGCATTTCAAATGCTCCACAGCCACATCAGATATGCATATAGAACTTTAGCATCCTTTCCAAAAGGATGGTCAGACAGGGCTGAGCTGAACAGCCTCTGAAGTTAATTCCCGAAGGACAAGGTGCCTCATAAATCGTCAGGAATTCAGGATCCTTTCCAATGTTCTGCTCGCCTTGCAAGGGAGGTATCTGGCATGAGGAGTAAGGGCCCAGAGCTGGAATTAGGGCCCTCTGTTGTTTGGTGGACTTGCTGTGTGACTTCTTGTGAGTCATTGCCTTCTCTGAGCCTGTCAGTTCCTCACCCCAAATAAGGGAGTAGTCTCAGGTGATGTTGATGCCCCTTGCAGCCTGGGCCTCTTGTGATTCATAAGCCCGAGTGTCATCTGGAGACACACAGACGGCAGGAAGGGTGTGAGATGGGCATGCATGGTATGATGCAAGGCCATCGCCCCCCCCAACACCGATCACCAGTCCACACACACAAGAAGCCCACTGCGCCGGCTGTTGGGTGGGCTCCAGACACAAAGCATCCTTCTCTCGGCCTCTTGTTCTGCTCCTCTCCTCTTCTGTCTTTCCTGTTTCCCTCCGTCTTGCCTTGCCTCGTTCGTCAGGGTCTCCCTTCCCCCGCTGGCTTGTGTTCCTCCTACTCTTTCCATCCAGCTATTCGGCCTCTGCCTCCTTCCCCTTCGGCATTCTGCTAGCTCTCACCTGTCTCCCTGGTGCATATTTCCCTGTTCATCTCCTCTCTCCAGTGGCTGAACATCATCACTTGCCATCCCACCCCTGGGTTCCCTGGAGACAGGGCACCCTCCCCCCACCACAACCGCACCAGGAAAGACTTCTTGAAACAGGGGACCCCGGCAGTCCCCATAAGAATCCAGCCACAAAAAGGGTGTTTGGGTCACAGGGAGAAGCCTGTATTCCAGGGCCCCTCCCAGGACAGGAATCTGGGGCCCAGGTCGGGTGCCAGCCTCACCCACGGAGTAATTAGGCTGAGGGAAAAAGAGGGAGTGAATCCCTGGGGGAAGGGTGGGGAAGCTTCCGGGATCTCGAGGGTTAAAAGGGAAGGTCTGCCAGGGGTCCCTGGGCAGAGGATTCTGACGGCCCACACAGCAGGGCAGGGGACTCTGGTTCTTCTTCCTCCTTCCTACTGAGGACTCCCAGGTGAAGCGGGATGCAGTCTACCCGCGCTGGGGCGGATTACCAGAGGTTGGGTGGGGACCCTCAGGCCACAGGCAGGAGCCCTGTCTGAGCCTCGATTTCCCTATTGGCGGGACGGGAAAATCCCAAAGCAGTGCAATTTAGAAGAGGTCCCCATTGGCTCAGGTCTGGGATCCCCACCCCCACCTGCGAAGGAGGGTGAAACCCGGCGCGCGACATGGCTGGCCACCGCGGCCGCCCGGGCTCTCGGAGGTCTCCTCTGGGACATAGGGAGGAAGGGAGGAAGCCACTCGAGGAGGAAGCTACCAAGGGTGTCATTAGGGTAATTGCTCCCATTAGGGCAGTTCAGGCCCGAATTGCCAGCTCCCCCGCCCCCGCGGTGGTCGGCTGCAGGTTAAACGGGTCGCGGCCATCTGGGGTGGCCCAGGCAGGACGGACAGACCCGCGAGGTGGGGGTCCCTGACTGCGCATCTGTTTTAACCCGCCTCCCGTCTCCCAGCCCTGGTCCTCGCCATGAAACCCTCGCACAGCCACCTTTCCGCTGCCTCTGGCGTCTGGGCCCTGATGAAGCTGCTGCTGCCGCTATTGATGGCGCAACTCTGGGGTGAGACGGGAAACAGGGGACGGCTGAAGGGCCGGGACCGAGGGAGGAGTACGCGCTGCCACCCGCCCTCGCGCACTTCTCCCTTGGGGACCCCCGCACCCACCCCACGTTCCCGAGCACGGATCCGCGGAGTCCCTTTGCTAGCTCGGCCCCTGGTGTCCCGCCCCATCAGACTGTGCTGTCCGGCCCCAGTCCTTCTGCTCCCCTCACACGGCCTCATTCTGTCCCCACCTCTTCTTACTCGGCCGCATTTTGCCCCAAGCTTTGCCTTGCCACTTTTTACCCTCTCGGGTTTTCCAGTTCCATTTGATTATTCCCATCGCTCCTCCCGGATGGCTTTCCATCAGCCACCTGCGCAACTCCCGGCCGCGTTCTGGCCACGCCCCCTTACCGCCCCACCGCCTTCGGTTTCCACCCCCTGGCCGCCCGCGGGGTTCTAGCTCCGCCCCCTTTAGAATCCCGCCGGGTTCTAGCTCCGCCCCCTGTCATCAGCCGCAGTCTGTCTCCGCCCCTTTCCACCCCGCAGCCCTCTGCGGCCCCGCGTTACCACCCCTGTGTGCCCGCAGCGTCAGGTGTGAGGTCCTCGCCCCTCCAGACCCCCCCATTCTGACTTGCGCTACTCCGTCCACCTCTCCTTGCACATTCGCGCCTTTCTTCGCCCACTTTCATTCGGTTCAAGCAGTCCCCCCAGTTCTCCACTCTCTGGTGTCTGGCAGTGTCCTCCTCCCTTTCAGGCCAATCCCCAGATTCTTCCAACGGGCTCTTATCCCCCGCCCCGTCTTCTCCGTTCTCTCTCCAGCCGCGGATGCGCTCCCAGTAAATGACACAGGCTTGGAACTTGCGGCCTTTGGCGCCCCCTGCACGCGCGGCTCGCAGCCCTGGCAGGTCTCCCTCTTCAAGGGCCTCAAATTCCACTGCGCAGGCGTCCTAGTGGACGAGAGCTGGGTGCTCACTGCAGCACACTGCTGGAACGACAAGTAGGGGTTGCTCCTGCGACAAGTAGAGGACGCCACGGAGTGGGTGGGAAACCAATCCCAGGGAGGGGCGGGAAGAGCAGGAACAACTGGGTCTCTCCCAGCTCCAGATGGGGTTAATCGTGGAGGCCTTCCTGGTGATGGAGAGGCAGGGCTTGTGCGGTGGACACCAGGGGGCGGTGTGGTCCTTCTCAGTGTTTCCGGGTCCATGATGCCTGCCCAGCTAGCTGCTTCTCCCCTTCCACTGGGAGTAGGTAGTTGTATGCAAGAGGCCCAAGTCGGGATCTGATGTGGTCAGGAACTTAGAAGTAAAGGGTAATGTTCACCCTCCACCCCAGGGACCCGGAGCCCGGGGCCCAAGCTCCAGAAGGTTTTGCCTCCCTGTGACTCTTTCCTCCCCAGGTCCCTGTGGGCTCGAGTTGGGGACGACCACCTGCTTCTTCTCCAGGGGGAGCAGCTCCGCCTGGCTAGCCACCCCGTTGTCCACCCCAAGTACCTCCAGGGCTCAGGCCCCCTCCTGCCAAGGCGGACAGATGAGCATGACCTCATGCTGCTGAAGCTAGGCAGGCCCGTTGTGCAGGGGCCCCGCGTCCAGGTCCTGCAGCTGCCCGACCGCTGTGCCCAGCCTGGAGACCAGTGCCAGATCGCTGGCTGGGGCACCACATCCTCCCGGAGAGGCAAGAGTGGGGGCCCTGGGGCTGGCATCTCAGGGAGGAGGGCTGGGCCTGCATCTCAGGGCTGAGGGGGGAGGCTGGGCCTGGACCCTGGGTCTGAGGGGGGAGGCTGGGGCCTGATTCCTGGGAGGACATCTGGGGCCTGGGCTAGGCAGTCTTGCATCTAACCCCTGGGTAACGGAGGCTAGGCTGGCCCTAGGAATTACCTGGCATGTTCTCCCATCAGTGAAGTACAACAAAGGCCTGAGCTGCTCCAGGGTCACTCTCCTGACCCCTAAAGCATGCGAAGTCTTCTACCCTGGAGTGATCACCAGCAACATGATTTGTGCTGGACTGGACCAGGGCCAGGACCCTTGCCAGGTAGGGAATGGCCAGGAGGAAAGAGATGCCTGTCCCTGCCCCCAACCTCGTTCTCTACTCCATCCTTGACCCCAGGCCCTCCCTGTCCTCACCCTCTCAGCCCCTAGCCCACCCTCCAGCTGTCCTCACCCCACCACATCCTCCCATCTCCCAATCCCTATCCACCCCTCACCTACCATGATCCAGAGTCCAACCTCAACCCCAGCACATCTCCTGACCCTACCCTGGACCCCAAGTCCACTTCCATCCTCACCCCAGTGCACGCCAACCTCACACCTAACTCCAACCCCACCCAACCCCATCATTATCCCACCTAACTCTAGCCTGGCCCCAGCCCCTTCCCTCCTCATCAGACCCCGAGTGGAAGCTCTCACATTGGGGTCTCCCTTCTCCCACCTGCAGAGCGACTCGGGCGGCCCCTTGGTGTGTGACCAGACCCTACAGGGCATCCTCTCCTGGGGCGTTTACCCCTGCGGCTCTGCCCAGCATCCGGCTGTTTACACCCAGATCTGCAAATATGTCCCCTGGATCAAGAAAACCATACGCTCCAAATGATCCAGCCTCCAAGACCCCTTCACCACCTGTACTCCTCCTCGGCCCTTCCTCCCCAGCTGGCCAGACCCTCCGTACCCTGCCTGCCCATCTGTTCTCTTCCCTCATTCCCCTGACACTCCTGTCCTCTGCTCACTCTGGAGCCAAAGAAGAGAAAGTTGTGGCAAAGCTTTGTTCAGGAAAAGTGAGGAACCCGAAAGTCACCTAATCTCTGAGCAAAGTTATCAGAGTCAGCCGACCTGGCTTCCTCTACCATTCACTGCTGGGTGACCTGGGGCAAGCCATGTACCCTCTCTGAGCCTTGGTTTCCTCACCTGAAAAACAGGGACAATGAAGTGCCTACCTCTTAAATGCACCATCAGGCACAGGTGACGGAACGTGCCTGATCTGGTAATTGTCATGTAAGCCTGATCAATGAGTGTGCGCGCTGACTAAACGGTACCTGTTGTCATGACCACATCGTGGTAATAGTGTCTCTGTCCAAGGCAGAAGAGAGTCCAGCATAGCCCTCACTCCAAACCCCAGCCCCACCCTGGGCTGATGGGAGAACCATTCCCTGCTCTCCATCTGAGCTTCAGGGAGCACGTGCACCTGCTTCCTCCTTCCCACCCACTACTTCCCACTTCTGGGTCCACCCAACACCAGCTCCTCTGTCCCAGCAGCCGTGAGGCTGCCCTTGACTCATCTGCTTGCTCTCTGCCTTCATGGGGTCACTGAACTCAAGGGAACTCACCCTGCATCCTTCCGGGCCCCCAGGACCAGAGGGCCAAGCCTCGCTTCCTACCTTGGTGCCCAGAGCCTCTGAGGTTTAGGGAGAATCTTTGGTTTGTTATTAACTGGCTTTGAGATGTTTGTCCTGGAAGCTTGGAAGGAGGGATTGTTTCCTTCTCCCTGAAATTGTCTCTGTAAATATTTCTGTCCTGGGGGGAGGGGGGCTTACACACAGAATCCAGGCAAAATAAAACAAGCAGATGTTCGAGGGTCTCAGCTTCACCTGGACTTTGGAGTCTGAAGTTGTAAGTTATGACGCAGCTGAACATTGACACAGCAGGACTCTTCCACAAAAGCATGGACTGTGTTGCCCTTTCAAACACCAATTTATTGAGCATCTATTCTATGCTAGGCCCCATGCTGGGTGATGGGGACACACTGGTGACCACAAGGTCCCTGCTCCCACAGAGCCCTCAGAAGATGGACAGTCAAGGTCTGAGCACACAGTAGGGTATACCACTTCCTTCCCTTGGCTCTTCCTCGTCCCACCCCATAGCACACCCAGGAAATGTCAGTCCTGTGTATCAGCGCGGTTGGTCATCCAGGGATCACAAGTGAAGCAGGTGGAACTCGGGGCTGGACACATTTCCAGTCAATCCGTCCATGCCTTCACGCACTCTGTGCTGTTTACGCAGCTGCGTCTTGTGCCAGGCCCCAGAGCTGAGTCTGACTAAGCCCTGCCCTCAGGAAGCTGTGCGTCAGGTCCAGGAGGGAGGCAGGCAGGACTTACATTCTTGTCATTCAGGTCTCCATTCAAAGGTCACCTCCTCCAGGAGGCCTTCCTGGATTGTCCTGGAAAGGGGTCCCCTTTTGGTCACCAATTCCACTGCTCCCTTTATTTCTTTCACAGCACTCATTATAGCTGGAATTATTTCATTCACCTGTTGACTTGATAATGACTGTGCGTCCCCGTGAGGACAAGGACTCAGGTACTTGTATTCTAAGCACTTGCTCCAGTGCCTGGCACAGAAACCATCAGCATATTGTTGAATGAACAAGGAACACAAATCCATCAGTCCGTGCACCACAGACACACCTCGGAGCATCTGAGGACTTTGCCTGAAGGAGTTGGGAGGCTTCTCACACCAAGGGATATTTTTGGGGGGTGTTAAAGGATAAGTAGGAGTTCGCCAGCTAAAGAAGACAATGCATATCACCATGGCACCTTGAGCTAGTTATTCGAATGCTTTCTGTACTTCAGTTCTCCGCTCTGCGGTGAGATACCTGCTTGACTAGACTCTCACCAGGATTGAGTGGGCTAATATTCATGAGCTATATGCCTTACACTAGGTACAGAATGAAGATAGCTTTTCAGTATCCTGTAAAGCAGTTTAGTGGGGCTCTCATCACACAGTAGGTCCTTTGGGAGAGGGAGGAATTGGCCAAGGCAGGTCATGCTCTCAGGAAGGTCGTGTGGACTCCGCAGGAGACGGAGAGCCGGGCTGAGTACCCACCGCGAGTCGGCCCGCTCCTGGGTGCTCCCAATCTCTTAGCCGTTGCCCCCCACTGCCCCCCGAAACCCTGGATATTACTGCTACTGAGCAGAGGAAAGAGGCCTGGTGACCTGTCCTAGGTCACATGCCTACCCAGTGCCAGCAGGGGACTTGGGCACAGATGGTTCAGTTCCAGACGGCACAGCCCAGACCCTGAGACCACAGCTGGGGATAGCCAAATGGAGCCCCCCAGCTGATAAGCCCGAGGCCAAGGGAGAGCGGAAGGGGCTGTGGGTGCCCAGGGACCCAGGGTTGACTCTGCCTGGAGAACTAAGAGAAGGCACCTTGGTGGAGGGACATTTAGGTTGGGCCTTGGAGGATGAGTAAGAGTTCACCAGATATAGAAGGCTGTGGGGAAAGACAGTCACTCATCAATTGACATCTCCTGAGGACTCCTGTGGGCCCAGCCCAGACGGGTGATTCTGGGGACACAGAGATGAGTCAGACCTGGGCCTGGCTCCTCAGGGGCGCCCAGCTGGTGAGAAGAAATGGGGAAAGAGGCCAGGCGAGAGGGTGATGGGAAGGACAATGGAGGCAGGGAGGGGAGACATGGGTGGGGAGGATATGGCCAAAGCTCCTGGGACTTGGCAGAGATCAGGTGGCATTAAGAGAGGAGGCAGGGCACGTGGGTCCAGGCAGGTGGGGCACCTGGTCCCTGGGGTGGTGGGGCTGTGGGGAAGGGGGCAGGCTGGGACAGGAGGGGATTAACCGGGCGGGAAACAGGCTCCCCAGCCGTGGAAGGGGCCTCTCTCTTTGTGGGACGGGCTCAAGTCCCCCGGGCAGGGAGGGTTCTGTGCAGTGTGGGGCTCCCTGTGGCCCTGGCCTGCCTGGGGTCCTCTCACTGGCGTCCCCCTCTTGTTCTTCCTCTCTCCCCTGACACTTCGCTCTGCCTGCCTCGGTCCTTCTCCCCCAGCCTAGGCTCTGGGCAGCCACCCAGGGGTGGGTCCAGCGCCCTACTCCGGCTCCCAAAGTCCACTCACCTTCCTCCTGGGATCCTGCCCTAGGCACCCTGCCTCCTCCAGACCTTGAGATTCTGATCCAGATCCTGCAGCCCAAGGTCATGGGGAAGAGCAGCCCCCACTCTGAAGGCCCAGAGGAGCCACCCACATCCCCTCCACAAACCTGCACCCCTTCCCCATTTAGTGGAGTTCTGGTCCAGCTCTCCCAATAGGGGGATCCCCCTGAGCCCACCGCCCCTCCCAAGGTTCCCCCACCCCTAGCACAACCCCAGGGTTTCCCCCTCCCCCAGGGACGTTTCCCAATGCTGATTAATCACAGGGGCGGCCCCGGGGAGGAGGAAGGAGATGCATGGTGTACCTTAAAGAAGCTCGGGCGCCAAGCGCCAGCTGAGGACCCGCACGCCCCGAGGTCATGAAGCTGGGATTCACCTGGGCTCTGCTGTCCCTTCTGGCAGGTGAGCCCACCGCAGCCCTACTGCCCTCTCGGGCTCGGCTCCTGCCCAGCCCCTCTGAGCCGGCCTCCCTGCCCCAGCTCAGGCACCCTGCCTTCTGGGCTCGGCATCCCCTCCCAGGCCCTCCCTTCCCGCCTGCTGCCTGCTGTCCCTGACCCCTCTTGCCCCCACCCCAGGGCAAGGCTGGGCAGACACCCGCACCATCGGGGCGGAGGAGTGTCAACGCAACTCACAGCCCTGGCAGGCTGGCCTGTTCTACCTCACCCGGCTCTTCTGCGGGGCGACTCTCATCAGTGACCGCTGGCTGCTCACAGCTGCCCACTGCCGCAAGCCGTGAGTGCCTCGGACCAGCCACGCTGGCCAGCGGAATGGGGAGCCCGAGAGGGTGGCGGAGGTGGGGCCTCAGGGTGGAGCACAGAGGGACCTCCATTTCTGACTCCAGAAGTCCAACTCTTCATTCCAGAGCCCTAAAACATCCCAGGTTCTAGGAGTCTAAGATTCGAGGCTTTGGCCCGAGAAACCCAGAATCCTAGAGTCTGGAAATCTTGGAGCCTTGATATTCTGGAATCACAGATGCAGAGACTGTTAGAACCTCGGGGGTCTACATCAGCCCATGGAGTAGAAATGTCATGCCAGACACAGGTGTAGCTGAAGTTTTCCAGGAGACACCTTTAAAGAGTAAAAAGAAACAGGCAAATTTGACTTTAATAATAGATTTAATTGGACATACTCAAAATATTGATTCAAAATGTAATAACATTTTAAATACTTATGAATGACATAGCTCACTTTTTTTTTTTTTTTTAGTAAAGCTTTGCAATCCAGCATGTATTTTCTACAGATAACACATCTCAATTGGGACAAGCCACATTTCAAGTGCTCAGTGGCAGTGTTGGCTAGTGCAATCCTAGAATCTTAGGTTCCAAGTGTCTTAGGCTCATGGAACATTGAGACTTACAGTCATGGAATCTTTGATTCACAGACACTGATTCCAGAATTCTAGAAGCCTATTTTCATAAACATGTAGAATCAATACCTCAGAATTTGATCATGCCAGAGTCTTAAAAGACAGGGAGCTTAACTCAGAGAGCTTTGAATCTTAAATTCATTGACTCATAGACACTTAATTTCTAAAATCAGGGATTTATGGAATTCTAGAATGATGATATTCTAGGGTTTGGTTTTGTCTTTGGAAGTCTTGGGGATTGAACCCGGGACCTCACACATGCCAGACAAGTGCTCTACCACTGGGCTACAACCCCAGCCCAATCCAGTACTTTTTAACTCACAGAAATATAGGATGTTAGAATCTTGGATCCATAAAATTCTAAAATTGAGCCTCTGAGACTCCTACAACAATAGACAGTGGGTGTTGGGATCTTCAAATTCCAGAATCTTAGATTCTGGGCACTTTAGTAGAATCCTAGGGTCTATGGGATGCAGGCATCTCCATATGCTATCTCTGAACAGAGGCCAACCTGTCTGTTCTAATATCCTCTTCAGGAGAGAAGCAAAAATGCTGGTTCAGGATGCCAGATGGGAATTTCCCATCATGCATTGCTCCACAATGGGGTCTCTCTCTTTTGGTCGGTCGCTCTCTCTCTCTCTCTCTCTCTCTCTCTCCTGAGTATTGAGACCAGGGCCTTATGCATGTGAGGCAAGCACTCTACCAATTGAGCTATATCGCCAGCCCAATGGGGTCTCTTTTAACCCAAGCCTGTACCTCGGAATGGGAGATCAATGTTTAGATTCAGCCCCAAAGACAAAAAAGGAGAGAGGCAGATAGAAGGGATTCAGAGGCAAAGATGGGGGTGTAGGGGATAACTTCCCCCAACACAGAGTCAAGACCACGAGGGTGGAGAGGGAGACAGAGACAGAAATACCAGCTCATACTCCCTAAATCCCAAATTCTCAGTCATGAGTCTAGGGCCTAAGTCAGGGGTCAGAGATGGGGGATGAACATGTGGACCCCTAAAGGGCCCCCACCTGTTCAGAGCATGGACCTAGACTAGAACAGGTGGGCTGGGACTACAGCAAGAGGACTTAAGGTTAGGTCTCAAGAAGGCCTGCCTAGGGCTGGGGATATAGCTCAGTTGGTAGAGTGCTTGTCTCACATGCACAAAGTCCTGGGTTCAATCCCCAGCACCACAAAAAAAAAAAAAAGAAGAAGAAGAACTGCCTTGCAGGGTAAAGAATATGACAGCAAAAGCCCAAGGCCATGGGATGATCCCCAATTTGGGGACTTTCCATATTTCATCTCTCTCCATACACATACATCTCAAAACATACCTAGAGCCACTCCCACACAAGTCAACAGCCCTGTGGGCACAGGAGGTGGGGTTGTTATTGTATGGTTCTAATTGTGTGGTCTACAAGGTTCCAGGGGACCCAGGTCACCACTGGAACTCTAGGTGGGGCAGGAAGGACAGTGGCTCACTCAGCATGGTAGGCTATGAAGGGGAACCGTTGGGGGAGGGCTACACAGGCAGAGGGAGACAGAAAGTCGAGCTGGAAGCAGAAACCCAGAAAGGGTGCATGGCTTGTGGAGGGTCACAGAGCACCCGGATGGAGAGAAAAAGAGAACTGAGGCTGATTGACTCCCCCCCACCACTTCCCTCTAACGTGACTTCTGAAGTCTGTCCCAGCAGGTACCTGTGGGTGCGCCTTGGGGAGCACCACCTCTGGCAGTGGGAGGGTCCAGAGCAGCTGTTCCGGGTCACAGACTTCTTCCCCCACCCGGGGTTCAATGAGGACCTCAGTGCCAATGACCACAACGATGACATCATGCTAATCCGTCTGCCCAGGCGGGCACGCCTGGGTCCTGCTGTGCAGCCCCTCAGCCTCAGCCAGACCTACCTTGCCCCAGGCACTCAGTGCTTCATCTCAGGCTGGGGGGCAGTGTCTAGCCCCAAGGGTATGGCCTTCCTTGCCTGTGACACAGCCCCTGGGTCTCAGGCCCAGGGCTGGGCTCCCTGCCCCCGTCTCTGCCTTTTCTCCTCTGTTCTCTCCCCGTTCACCTACCTATTCATCAAATCTAAAATGCTATAAAGTTTAAGAAGCATAATTATTTTATGAACTGCTAAGAATGGAAAAAAGTACAGTTGACTGTTTGACCTCACGGACTGGAGAACACATCCCGGTTCCACAGACATTTCAATGTGAACATCTGTGCATCTTAGAATTGCAACCAAACCTCCATCTCACTCACACTGGCAACCATTAGCCACATTTGGCTTTTCATGTTAGTGTTAGTTTCCCAAGTGTCTTTAAAACAAATCAGTCTGAATTTGTTGCTGCCAACATCTAAAACGGGGACACTTTAGAAAGCCAGATTTCTGGATTTGCTTGAAATTTTAAGGAACTGATAACTGATAAAGTTGCCCACATCCCAAGAATAGTACCCTGGGCAGAGTGAGTAGAGGCTGCCCTCTTCAGACAAGATATGGGTTCGCTGCACTCCACCCCTCTGGCTGCCCGCCAGCTGCACAGTCCCCACGGGGACTCGTATTTACCCAGCAAGTCCCCTGAGCACCTGATTTGTAGCTATGTGTCACATACATTCTACATGCATATCTGTATCCCTGTCTGTCTCTCTTGGACGGGCTGTAGCTTACCTCGAGCTTTATGCAGTATCTCTATGTGTGCCTCTGTCTCTGTCAGTGACCGTCTGTCCCCTCCCGATTGCCCTGCTCCCCTCCCATGTCTCTGGGTCTCTTCTCTTTCATCATGGTCTCCTCTGAGAATCTCCCTTTAAAGAGCCTCTACCTCCCTCCACGGTTTATTTCCCTCCAAGTGAGTGATACACAGCTCTCGTCTCTTTCTCTCTGCAGCTTCCTCTTTCTTTCTCTTGCTCTTGGTCTCTCTCCCCTCCATCCCTCTGTTTCTCTTACATCTATGACTGTCTATGTCTCCATTTCTTCTCTCCATCCTTGAGTCTTATGATGTGCTTCTGTGGGTTCTCCAGTGGAAAGGCTTCAGAGAAGACTCAGGAAGGGGAATTGCTGGACTAGCAGCTCATTTTCTGTGGCTCTCTTTCCTAAACAGTGCGGTATCCACTCACGCTGCAGTGTGCCAACATCAGCATCCTGGATGCCAAACTCTGTCACTGGGCTTATCCAGGCCACATCTCAGACAGCATGATATGTGCAGGCCTGTGGGAGGGGGGCCGAGGCTCCTGCCAGGTAAGACCCTGCTGTGGGGAGGAGGCCATAGGCCTGATCTTGGGGGAGGAAACAACTGGAACCCCAGACCCCCACCCCAGCTCCCAGGAGACTGGGAGGTGGGGAGGGGGCACTGAGTCCTGGGGAAGGAGAGGGCTAGGAGCTCAGAATGCCAGGTCTTGGGGAGAGATGGGTCTCTGAGCTTTTCCTCTTGTGTCTGAGAGAGGAAAGACTGGAGACCTGGACAGTTGAGGACTCTGGGGGACTTCCCAGAAAGAGGAAGTGGACAATGTAATTGTCATGAATAGACTGGCGTTAACAGTTTCTCTGCTCTTCTCGCGTGCACAGGGTGACTCTGGGGGACCCCTGGTTTGCAATGGGACCCTTGCAGGCGTGGTGTCTGGAGGCGCTGAGCCCTGCTCCAGACCCCGGCGTCCCACTGTCTTTACCAGCGTACGCCACTACGTGGACTGGATTCGAAAAACCATGGAGGAAAACTGAACCCTCAAGCTAAGGTCGACTGTGCGAGGACGCGAGTTACTGCAGGGATCCAGCCACGACCGTCACCGTTCAGACTAAGCCCTGACACTGAGGCTGTGCGCTCCCTCAGGCTCCGCCCCCGCGCTTAAACCGCGGTGTAGCCACACCCCCTCGGAAAGGCGCAGGGACACCCGTCCGCATCTCTTGGCCAAGTCTCTATGACGTCACCAAGAACGGACACCATCCCCTGGAACTGCCCCACCGTGTGGCTCCGCCCTAAGGAACATCTTCAACTAAGTAGCCCCTCCCCTCCGAACTTTTCCCAATGGGACTTCACCTCTGGGCCCCGCCTCCGCCGCCAGCGATTCCGCCCCCATGACGTCAGTGGCTCTGTAGCCCCGCCCACGTGAAATTCAGTCCTGCTGGGCTCCGCCCCTCGCGGCCCTGCCCTGGGCGTGTCCTGGGTTTGAATCCTGGCGCGGACCCGACTGGGAGAAGTTGGGGGTCTCGGTCCTTTCAGAGCCGAGGGATGATTTTACAATAAAGCGGGGAGCCGCGCCTTCCATCTGCCTGTGCTGTGGAATGAGGGGGGCACTGATGGGGGGCGAAGGGCAGATGAGGGCTCCGCCACCGAGTTGCACATACCCCTAGTAAGTCCTGCCTGACGTCGGTCTCCATCGTCTCCATTGCAGCAGGGCTGAGTTCTGCTTGGGCTGGTCCCGCCACCCCCAGGGGAAGGGGAAACCAGGTCACGGTGCTTCCCAAACCTGCCTTCCCAGATCCCGCACCTCTCGGGGCCGCGGGCGGGCCCGGTCCGCCCTCAGCACTCCGAATCCAGAAGACCCGCCTTTCTTCCGGGTGATCGAAGCAGCCCCCTCCTCCCACAAGAATCAGGTTCCAAGCCCCTCCCTCCAAAAAGAGGAGAATTCAGCCCCAGCACTTCCTCTGACCCTGGAACGCAGACCCCAGCCCTCCTCCCTCGGACCCGGGGGTCCCCTCCCCAGCATTGAGCACCCCTCTCCATTTCCTCAGTTCAAGATTCCAGCCCCGTCCCCAAGACTTCGGTTCAGCCCCCACCCGCCCCTCTTCACACACACCCTGGGTTCCCTGATGCGTCCCCAGCTCAGATGCGGGAGGAGGCGGAACAGGGGGCGGGGACTCCCAGTTAAAAGGCTGAAGAATCGTGTACCAGGCAGACAGAACTGAAGTACCGGGGCCTCTTCCTCTGAGCCCGAAATCAGTAGGTGACCCCGCCCCCTGGATTCTGGAAGGTGAGGTGCAGAGGTATTCAGACACTGACCTCAGGCCCAGGGATCCCTCCCCGCCAGGCCTCAGGACCCCAGCCTCAGACCCTCCTCCCTCCAGTCCCAGCAATCCGACCCCAACTCCCACTTCCCCGGACTCAGAGTCCCACTCCCAGGTCCTTCTCTCCTCAGACCCAGAAGTCCAGGAGCAGAATTCCCTCCTCCCTCGGAATGCAGGAATCTAGTTCCCCAGCCTCACCCGGCCCGATACTTAGCTTTGGAAATTTGGGCTCCTGTCCCCTTCTTCCTCAGACTCAAGAATCTGGATCCCCAGCTCCTTCCTGGTACAGGACTCACAACAGCTCAACTGCTCCCGATCCTCTGGCTCCCTCCCCAGCCCCAAAATTTCAGGCTCCTCCCTTCTGTCTCAGCCCCACCCTCTCCCTCCCTCAGACACCATGGGACGCCCCCCACCCCTTGCAGCTCTTTACTGGAGGATCCTGCTCTTGCTGCTGGGAGCCTGGGCAGGTAGGGGGACCGGGAGGACTCTGAAGGGAGGGGGCAGAAGGCCGCAGTGGTGCTGGGAGCCTGGGTGAAAGTTGGGTGGGTATGTGGGTGCGTGTGGCGGTGTGGGGCGTGTGAAGCGTGTGACTTGGTGTGGGAGCCTCTGTGGGCCTCCTGGGTGTGGGTGGAGGTGTGGAAGACACCGCAGGCGTGGGAGTGGGTTCAGTTCTGCTGAAAATGGCATCAGTACTCAGGGGGGCGCCTGCACAGACACACGTGGGAGTGTCGTATGAGGATCTGTGTGAATGCATGCGGACGCACACTTGGCTGTGTGACTCACGATGACTTGGGACCGTCAGTGAGCGAGCACGCGGAGGACTGGCCGTGTGTCCGTTTGAACCCACAGTGGTTGTCCTGGCCCGGGCACTGACCCCAAGGGTGGAGATCCAACCCTGTCCCTCCTGCCGCAGGCTGCACCAAGGCACAGGGGTCCAAGATCCTGGAGGGCCAGGAGTGTGAAGCCCACTCTCAGCCCTGGCAGGCGGCCTTGTTCCAGGGCCAGCGACTGCTCTGCGGGGCTGTCCTTGTTGGTGCCAACTGGATCCTCACAGCTGCCCACTGTAAAAAAATGTGAGTGGATCTCTGGGGCAGAGGCAGGCTGGGGTCTGAGGGGGTTTAGGCCTTCGCTCAGGAAGAAAGCTGGACCCCTGGTCTGAGGGAAGAGGGCTGGGGTCTGGACTCTGGGTCCTGAGGGAGGAGATGCTGGGTGCCCCAGTCCTCAGGTGCTCCTGCCTGGGCTCCAAGCTACCTCCTACCACTTACAGGAAGTACACAGTGCGACTGGGTGACCACAGCCTGCAGAGTAAAGACGGGCCCGAGCAGGAAATCACAGTGGCTCAGTCCATCCAACACCCCTGCTACAACAGCAGTGACATGGATGACCACAGTCACGATCTGATGCTCATCCGACTACGTGGTCGAGCATCCCTGGGGCCCAAAGTGAAGCCCATCAACCTGGCGGATAAATGCGCCCATGTGGGCCAGAAGTGCACTATATCGGGCTGGGGCACTGTCACCAGCCCCCGAGGTAGTGGGCTTGGCCACTACTGGGAGGGAGAAGAGGAGCTATTGGCCCAGTGGACCCTGAGCCATGGGCAAGGCACAGCTCCCACAGAAGATAAAGAAGGGAAAGTGATGTGTGATGTTGAGATTCACCAGAGGTCCATACTGCAAACCTTGAAGGCCAGACAGGAGTGGTGAGGGAAAGAGAGTCAACAGATCGCTAAGCAGGGCTCGAAAAACAAACCCAAAAGCCCTCTTTTTGGTAGATAGCACCATCTCATGAAAACTTTCATTGTATATGATTTTATATAATCTTCATAACAGACCTGGGATATATGGGCTCTGCAGGAGCCCAGGAAAGCAGGCTCCTCGGTCCCTTCCCTGTAGAACCCAGGAAACGAGTTTATACCCCCCCCCCACCCCCGGCCAGCACTCAGTGGTCCAGGTCCCTAGTTCCCTTCTTACTCTTGGTCCAAAAGTCTGGACCTCCATTAAAGGCATCCTTTTGGGACTTCAGAATCTAGACAGCCCCTTGCCTTACTTCATAGTGGAAAATAAAAGTTGGGGCTCAGCTCTCAGAAGCAATAGGATCCTCCAGGAAGTGGCAAAGCAGGATTCAGGTCCCTGCATGCTTGACTCCTGATGCAGATGAGATGTTGTATTGCTGCAGAAACACATCTGCTCATGAATCTACCTAAACCACAGCTCTGCCCCTTTACCTGGGGAAGTCCCTTTCCATCTCCCAGCCTCCCTTTCTTCATCTGCAAGTTGAGAATCATCATCCAAGAGACTCCCTTCAGCTCCACAAGGCCTTAGTTTACATCTGTTTTCTCCATTGTGTGTTCTGAGTGTTTGGGATGGTGACTGGTACGTAGAAGGTGCTCAACAAGTATTTGTTGAACAATTGAGGTAACAAGAAAATGAAGGAATGTGTCGGTCCTTCAAAGACCTGCTGTGGTTACATGAGATTGTGAGCATTTCACTCTAGCACAGAAAAATTTTTTCTTATGTTTATTCTTCAAAGGAGATTAAAGAGAAAGATGAATTCCACTTTCAAGCATTAATTCAACACTTATTTATTGAGCATCTAGCATGCCCCAAGGTGCTATCATAGGCATTGGGGATTCAATCATGAACAAACCATAGCACCCTGTCCTTATGGAGTTGCATTGCCAGGTGAGGGAAATAGAGAGTAAGCAAATACACATAAAATAAAATATCAGGTAGAGTTAAGAGCTGTAATTAAATAATGTGGAGGGTAAATGTAGGGAGCGGTAGAGGGGTGGCATTTTAATTAGAGGAGCCAGGAAATGTTTCTAGGAAACAGTGACATTTGGAAAGCGGAATTATCTAAAATTGAGCCCTCCCCCCTCCCCCCTATTGGTCTGAGGGCAAGAAGACTAGCTAAGAGGGTCAGAGGTGTCTTAAGGAGACATCACACCCCCTTTCCCCCCAGTCACCTGCCTTTCGATTTGAAAATGACTTAGGACAAGATAAGATCAGAGAGCCACTCTCTAGATGGATAAAGACACGTCTGTGGTATTATTTCCTTTAATGTATCTAGAACATGGGCCCAGCAGAATGTTCTAGAAAACTCCCTCAGAGCAGCTTCCAGTGAACAAAGTGGGGGTTAGATCCAGATGGGAATGGAAAGAAAGGGTTGCTCTCTTACCACCTCTTTCTCCTCAGAGAACTTTCCTGATACCCTCAACTGCGCAGAAGTGCAAATCTTTTCCCAGAACAAGTGCGAGGCTGCCTACCCAGGGCAGGTCTCAGATGGCATGCTTTGCGCGGGCAACAGCAACGGGGCTGACACCTGCCAGGTGAGTGACTTCTGAGATCTCCTCCCTCATCTCGCAGGCCCCTCAGGAGTTCCAGTCTTGAGAAGGGGACTCCAAGGAATTAGTACCCAGAGAGTTGCCCCAACCCCTACTGAGTGGGAAGGAGGCACACAGGAAGCCAAACTCCCAGTCGAGGTCACAGGGCATAGGAATCAGGAGCATTGGATGTGACTGTCATCCTCTTAGGAACCCTTGCCTGCAGGATGACCTGCCGGGAGGGGCGCTCTAGACAATTAGGGAGACGTCCTCGAAGGGGACAGAGTCTGGCTGGAGGTTAGGCAGGCTCCCTGCGCCCTCCCGGTGCCAGGAATCTGCTGGCACCAGCCACTTCCCTCCCCTACCTCCTGGGTCCCCTGGGATGGCTCCCTTCTCCTCTGATTGCTTCCGTGCGGAGCAAGGCTGCCTCGCCAGGTGGCCAGGGAACGTTGGCTTCGACTTTGCTGCCTCCTCAGTAAGCTCCCATCCCCTTTCCTGGGGCCTTTTTTCCCCTGTTGGCTGTAACTGCTCCGGGGTGCTCCAGGGTCCCCTGGCTTTGACTCCTTCATGGAAGCTCCACCCCCGTCGCTACTGATTGGTCCCTGAAGACAATGCTCTCTTCCTCATTGGCCAAAAATGAAGTCATTTCCACGGGTCAGGGGTTTCTTCCCCGGGGATCTGCTGTGTGTGTGTGTGTGTGTGTGTGTGTGTGTGTGTGTGTGTGTGTGTGTGTGTGTCAGTGCGTCTGTCTCCACTAGAATTCTGTTTCCGTCTCCCATTTTTGGCAACTGGAACCCACGGAGGAAACAGCTCAGTCCCCTCCATTGGTCCCCACCGTTTTCTCTCTGGGTGGGACCCTAGAGACTTCACTCTTCCCTCACTGGTCAGGATTTTGGCCAAGGGCTACTTGGACATCCTGTGTCCCCGCCTTCTCCCTCCTGATTGGTCTCAGGGGCCGGTGCTCGTCCCCATTGGCTCCAGGGACCAATCCTGCTGAAGACCTAGTCTAAGTGCCAGGTGCTGCAGCAGGAGGGACTGTGGGTGGCTAAGGGACATCGCCGTCTGGCTGACATCGCCGTCTGGCTCCCCCTCCAGGGCGACTCCGGAGGCCCGCTGGTGTGCGACGGCCTGCTCCAGGGCATCACGTCGTGGGGCTCGGACCCCTGCGGGCGGCCCGAGAGACCTGGTGTCTACACCAACCTCTGCCGCTACCTGGACTGGATCAAGAAGACCATGGGAAAGAGGGGATGATCCTGGGGGGACCCCGGGCCTCCTTTAATAAACTCACGAGACTGGTTGGCTTCTTGCTTGTCTGTGCTTTGCCTGCCGGGGAGGAGGAGGTGCTGCCCCCTGCTGGCGGGCTTGGCGGGAGAGCTGCGGAGACTTGGACCCCTTGGCTACTCTGGCCATCCCACTGCCTGAAGTGACTCCCCACTCCCAAGGACTTGGGTGAGTGGGAACATTTTTCAGGAGAGAAAAGACATTCAAAATTTTTCAATATCCAGGAGGCTGATGTGAAAGATAGTCTTGAAATTTTTTTCCCCATATTTTTATTGGTGTATTACAATTGTACATAATGATGGGATTTGTTGTTAACATATTCCTACATACCCACAAGATGACAATATATTTTGGCCAGCGTCACTCCCAGCACTTCGCCCCTCCCTACCCACCTCTCACCCTCAGTCTCTTTCTCCTACTTTCTTCCTTTGATTTTTATGAGATCCGCCCCCAACTTTCTTTTCCTTTTTCCTAGCTTCCACATATGAGAGCAAATATATGTCCCTTTAAAGGGTTTCATTTAGCTGTAGTCATTGTTGTTCTTGAGCAGCTAAAGTGTTATAAGCTTTGGGGAGATTTTTTTTTTTCAATTGTGAAGTCTGCATAGAGAAGAGAACAGGTATTTACAAATGACACCTGTGGAACTAGCAAAAAAATATTCCTGTTAGCCCCCATATCCTAGAAATCCTTCTCACAACCCAGAGTTGTCTTGGGGCATCTGCCATGACTGTAGGAAATGACATGTGTCCAAATTGAAATGTGGAGTATTGCGCCTTTTGGGAACTGTTCATTAGAGAAAAACACATAAATTGTCTTAGGAGGGCTGGGGTGTGGCTCAGTGGCAGAGCACTTGCCTGACATGTGTGAGGCCTCGGGTTCCATCCTGAGCATCTGGAAAAATAAATAAATAAATATTTTCTTAGGGAAAGGTGGGGGGTACATAGTGTGAGGACATAAATAGTAACTGTCCTAGGATTTCAGACTATTCTTATAAAAGAGAATTTGACTGGTCCAGCTCACCTTTTCTCCTTTAGCCACAGCATAGGTCACTGAGTGACCATTTGTTTGCGTTCTGGTCAGGTAACCAGTCCTATCCAATGGGTGGCTATGTGGAGTCACATGGTAGGAAACTTGGCCACTCAGGGCTGTTGGAAGGCCATTCTCCACTAGGGCTATGGGTGTTTGAGATGTCTTGCTCACAGCAGTCTCCAAATCTGATTGGTCCAGCTTGAATTGGCCCCACCCCTTGGGCCCATCATTATTGTTAAAGGTCAAGTGTGGGACTCCTTGGCTTGGCCTGAGTCCTTCCTGTGGCCCAGTGGGCCTCTGGGATTGGGGACCTATGATTGACAGTGTTTCCAGAATTACAGGGAATGAGGGAGCAACTCCTCAAGGGAGAAGGGAATCCAGAAAGTCAGAAACAATGGGCCATCAAACCACAGGCTGAGTCAGGAGGTGCTAGAGTCACAGTGTCCAGGGTCCCTCGGGGCAGGATGGTCAGATGCCAGTTCTCATGTGATCATGTGCTGCAGGATGAGTCACCAGACAGAGGTTCAGGACATGGGTCAGAGGGCGGGAGGTATGAGGCCAGGTGTCTGGGTGGACTTAGCAACAGGTGTTGGGACTAACCCTGAAGGGCACAGGGGGCTCTAACCCATGTGGGGGCATGCATCTCTATCAGGCCCAGGGCTTCTGAATCTGTTTTGAAAGCAGAGAGACTCAAGATGTTTGAGGGTGGAACAGGGAACTTTCCTTTTCAGAGTATGCATCTGTGCAGTAGGGATACCGTGGGCTCTTCAATCCCTGACAGTCAAATTCTGACACTTGCTCCTTCAGCGTGCTACTTTGCCCAGGGGATCTGACCTCTTAAACTCCCATTTCCTCATTTGTAAAATGAAGATGTCAATCATCACTTGGGCCGGATAGAGATAAGAATAGAGATAAGATCTGAGAACACTGAACACGCCCCCTGTAGGTAGAGCTGAGTGGCAACCTGCTTCCTTCCCTGGAGGTGGATCACGGGAGCTGATACTAACTTGGAGCCTGCTGGGTAGCTGTCAACTTCCCATCATTTTTATATAATCCTCCCAGTTGGCTCGAGAAGTAAGCTCTGCGGGTCCCCGCCTTAGAGAAGGGAAGTATGAGACTCAGGTAAGAGAAGTCACTTACCTGAAGTTGCAGGGTGGGCAACAGGGACTCAAACCTGGGCTGGACTGATTTGTGAGCCACATTCTTTCTATGATACCCTGAGGCAGAATGGCTCAGAGATCAAGGGAGGCCTGAGCACAAAGGCAGTGGATTTGTGGGTGCCAGAGGCTTGCAAACTAGTGTTTGTGTAAGTCCCTCCTATCTTTTCTGGTCTGGGCTAGGTGCTAAAGAAAACAACAGAGCGCCTCTGCTCCTGAAGACCAGCATTTAGCAACAAAGCCAGACTAAATAATTAAGGCCACAGCTTCCAGGGTGACAGGTCTGCCAACCACATCTGGTGATTTAGGGATGGATGACAGGGCTCCCCGCCAACAAAGCACCTTTCCTTTGCTGAGGAGGCAGGGAACTGAGGGATGAGAGGATCTGGGATGAACATGTGGGCAGGAGATAGCATCCCGCGAGTCTTGCTAAAACTCCTCTATTTGAGAAGCCAGGAAGGAAAGATTCAGGTGCTGGGTCATGGGGCTGTGACCTCACATGGCCCAGGGTCTGCCTGCGTTTGTTTTGGGAGCTCAAATCAGGAAGGTTGATGCTCCCCAAGGCCAGGGCCCTGCTGTGCAGTGGGCAAGGCCAAGGGCCCAGTTCTGGAATCTGCTGTTGGATTTGACGGGAGTCAACATCTCAGGGCTAATGAATTAGCCTGAACTGAATTAGCCCAGCACCCCCGTCAGAACCGAGTTAGTTGGCAGAGTTTATTTTCAAGTTTGTGTTTAATGAAGGGTCAGTTGAAGAAGTGACAGTGGAGTTTGGGGAGAAGTTGGAATAGAATCGAGGGTAGGAATTGGGTTGGAGATGAGAATCAGGGTGGGATTGGGGTCAGGGTGTTGGGACTGGTGTGGGATGGCAGCTGGGTGGATCTGTGGGGAGGACGTCAAGTGGGCTCCCTGCCGCCAAGGCAGACACTGAAGTCTGAGTTGTACGTGGGGCAGGTCTGGGGTTGAGGCTACGGTGATACTCGGTATTTGGGTCCAGGCTGAGTTTGGCTTATGGTTAGGGGAGATCCAGGGTCAAGGTTATTGAGGTCTGGGTTCTGGCCTGTATGGATATTTGAAGTCAGGAACTCAAGTCAGGGTTGAAGTTCTGGGTTCAGGTAGAAATTGGGGTTGTCAAGGATGAGCAGAATTTGGTGTTACGATTGTGTACCAGTCAAGGTTTGGAGTTCAGCCCAGGGCTAGTGTGAAGATTGGTGTTGGCTGGCATTAGGGTTAACCTTGAAGCTGGCGTCCCAGCTCTTTCTGCCTCTGTCAGAAGCAGCTGGCCACACCAGCCATGCCCCTCCTCCATCAGCACCCTCGAGAGGCCACAGCCTTGACACCCTCCACCCTGCACACATCTGTTGTTGGCTTGGACCTGTTGATTTTCTCTCCTAAGCATAACTTGAATCCATGCACTTACCATCATCTCCACCTCCCAATGTCCTTGTCCAAGTCACCAACGTCCCTTCCCTAGACAAGAGCAATGACTTCCTCGTAGTCTCCCAGGGTCTTCTCATCCCCCAAATACAGCAGCCAGGGTGACGTTTTGAAAATACAGGTCTTGTTATGCTATTCTCCTCACTAAAGTCCAAGTCATTCTTCATTGTCTGCAGGATAAAGTGGGACTCACTGCAACACACAAGGCTCCTCGGGGCCTGTCCCCATCGGCCTCTGGCTCTGGGCTGCATCCACACCGCGGCCAGCACAGGGCCCTTGCACCTGTCACTTTCTTTGCACAGTGTGTGCTCCTTGCTCCGCCCATAAACTTCCAGTCAACGCTTGTTGTTCTTTCAACTCTGAGCTCATTGTCAAAATTCCCTGATGTGCTTTCACGATACCCCGTCCTTTTCCTTCAGAGCATACCATATTTTACATTTGCTTATTCTGAATTATTTGAGGTTGTTCTTTTGGAGGAGACCCACAGCTCCTTGAGGAAAAGGGCTCTATCCCGATCTGTGCAGGTGCCCTCAGTGTTAAGGGCCAGGCTATGTGGGCAATTACCAAACAGACTCCATTTTTACCCTGAGACTCCATAGCATGTCAGAAACGCTTCTCCCGTGGGAAAGCCCCGCCTCTGTACCCATCACTAGTTGCCTAGCACAGCATACTTGGCAACACAAAGTAGCAATTCTTATAGGATGTAAAATCCCTCTCTTTGGTTCCCATTTTCCTTGGGCAGTGTACCTTATTGGGGAATAATTGATTAGACGTTAGTAGCCATCCTTTAACTTGTACTCGACTAGGGTCACTTTGATCCATTTCTCTTTTGATTATGATTATGGAAAAATCCCATGATAAATACTGAAATAGAGTGAAAATACAATTAAGGACATTGCATTGTTTGGTTAATGGTGTCATTTAGCTCCTGGACTCCTGCCTGCTTGCTTGCTTGCTGGTTGCTATGTCAACCTGAATGTGGGTTTTGCGGTTTTTGCCTTTAAATATCCTAAAATGTTGAGGCTCGAGGCTGTCTTCCTGCAGAGATAACTTGGTCCTGTAGGAAGCAGTCTCTGCCGGTCCAACAATAAAGACTCTTCAATTTGGACAAAACGGGGACTTGGTGTGTTTTCGGAGTGACCTGCCCCACAGTACTCAGCACCTACCCCGCCTGGCACAGCTCTGCCTGTTACGTGTTGTTAAGTGCGTGAAGGACGGGGCCTCTGTGGACAGGGGAAGAAGGCTGGAGGAAGGGTTGGGTTTGGTGACTACAGTGGCTTCCAGATAGGGATTCAAATGGGCACTGGATTTGGATTCATGGCTCCGGCTCAAGATCTCGTATCTGAGTTGGGATTTACAGGAACACTGAGGTGTCAGTAAGGATGAACTTGACTACAAGGACCAAAGGACTTGGACCCCCACAGGAAGCCTGGAAAAGCCATGTGATGATGGGGCTGCACAGCTGGCGGACTGCCACCCCAGCGATGGCATGGAAGACCCAGCCGATGACCTGTGGGCTCCGGCAGTGTTTTGGCTTAATCCTCTGCCCACTTCTCCTCCTGGTCCGCTCACGCAGTTCCAGAATCTGCATTCAGAAGAGACACCATGGGTAAATAAAGAAACTTCCAGTGTTGTCTTTGGGAAAATTAGGACATCTTTCTCAAAAAAGTTGGGGGGGTCTTCTCACTCCTTATTGGCTAAGACCATATCACATATCAATTTTAAACCAATCAGCAGCAAGCATCATGTGGTTTCCATACTTGGATCCTCCAGGATTATGGCCATGATGAGGATAAAAGGTTATCCAAAAAGCCAGGTGTGTTGGCTCACGCCTGTCATCCCAGTGATTTGGGAGGCTGAGACAGGACGATTGCAAGTTCAAAGCCAACTTAGTGAGGCCCTGTGCAACTTAGTGAAAGCCTGTCTCAAAAAAAAAATTTAAAAAGGGGGGCACATCTCCAGTACCCCCCCAAAAAAGGTTATTCAAAGAAAATCAGAGTTTGCAGAAGGAATAAAAGCCTGGATAGACATAATACCTGTCACAGTTGGAACACAGGTCAAAGGTGGAGGGGGGGCGTCAAATTGAGAGCAGGTCTGGGCTCAGGGTTGAAGATTGGATCACTTTTTGAATCTGATCTAGAAATTGAGATCAGTTCTATCGTGTTGAAGAAATAATCTGAAAATGGTTCCCGTTTGAGTCTGGCCTTCAAGGTCCCCGCCACCAGAGTCCTGTTCTATTTCTGCCTAGTTGTCAGCTCTCTCCCCACCCAGCTCCAGCTGCGTGGCCTTCTGCGCCTGCTGCTTGTCTAACACACCTGCCCATTCACTCTCCCCAGAACTCTCCACCCCCAAGTGACCGCATGGATTCCTCCATCACCTCCTTCAAGTGCACATGCCACCTTCACCAGGAGCCTTTTGAAACATCTTTCCTAATATGAGAGCCCAGAATCCTGGAGGGCAGAGGGAACCCATAATTCTTTCACCCTCTTCCCTGCTTTCTCAGAAGTGCCAGGGTCTCCCCCTCACTCCTCATTGGCTAGAACTACATCACATGTCAGTCTCTCTCCATGGCACTCACCACCACTTAACAAACTCTGTATTTCATGAGCTTATTTATTTCCATGTGTTTATTTTTGGGTCTCCAAGTCAACCAAGCAGGCAGTCCCCATGAAGGCAGAAACCTGTCTTGTCATGGCCCCAGTACCCAGAGTAGTTTCTGGCACACGGTAGACATTTGAAGGATGAATGCAACTAGCAAAGATGAAGAAACCAATTTACTCCTCATTATTACATTCAAAACTCCGCAAGCGAACTTCAAGGTGAAGCAGAGTACATAAGCCACAATACTAAAGCTATAGTATGGAATATCATACAACATTGCAAAGAAAGGGGAAAGGATCTAAAGGGACCAGCAGGGACAACTGTTCACAATATTTTGTAAAGTTAAAAAAAAGGTAAGACTGGGATCTGGCCTGTCCGGGTTCCCACAGGCTCCTTAGCCATAGGGTGGAGGGCCCAGGCCACCCTGAGAGCAGGTGAGGGCAAGGGAATGACCCCAGAGGAGGACCCAGGACAGGGCCAGCGGCTGTGCCTTGCCTCTCTTGAATCCTGCTCCTCTCCTGCTCCTCAGGCCCTGCACCTGGGCCCTCCCAGTGAGCAACCAGCAGGGGTGGTGGGGCCCGAATATGTGGGGGTGAGCTAGCTGGGTGCCGCCCAGCCTGGCTGCGGGAAGGAGGGTGGGGAAGCAGTGTGGTATCAATTACTTGGCTGCCCCAGGGATTCCAGATAACCCTAACTGAACACAGGAAGAAGGTGTCCTGCAGCCGGCTCTGCCTGCACCCCAGGGCACTGGGGGCGGGCACAGGGGGTGGGGGTGGTATAAGAGGACAGCCCTGCAGAGGGCTGCAGACACTTGGCTCCCAACAGAGGCCAGAGCTGAGATCAGATCAACCTTCCAAAGGTGAGAAGGGACCTTATCAAGGAGGTTGTGTGGGGGCGAGGCAGTAATGCTGGCCAGACCGGCTGACTCCAGGTGCCGTGGGGCTGGAGGCCTGCAACTTGGAAAGAGACTGAGGATTCCCACTTACAGGTTCACAGGGTGGGAGAGGGATGGGAGCCTGCATACCTGAGCCTGTAAGGGCCAGGGGACCTGGACTTCTGGGTCTGAGGGAGGAGGCTGGGACTGGACCCCTGGGTATGAGGGATGCCTGAGGGAGGATAGTGGGCCCTGGGCCTCTGGGTCTGAGGGAGGAGGCTGGGCCTGGACCCCTATGTCTGAGGGAGGAGGCTGGGCCTGGACCCTGGGTCTGAGGGAGGGGGCTGGGCCTGGACCCCGGGTCTGAGGGAGGAGGCTGGGCCTGGATCCTGGGTCTGAGGGAAGGGGCTGGGCCTGGACCCTGGGTCTGAGGGAGGAGGCTGGGCCTGGACCCTGGGTCTGAGGG